TGGCGCCGCACCGCCTGTCTCCCGGCGTCCTACGCTCAAAAGCTGCTGATGCAAAAACACATCACCCGAGGGGGCGGGGATCGGGAATAATCCTGCTGTGGTGTCATAAAATTGCGATTCCTGAATTCAATTAGACGGTTCATTCCCTAATCTCGGCTATTTTCTTGGGCTGGCGAGACAGAATTACCAGCGGTTAATGAAGCTCAACGTAAATTTTCTAAATGTCCGAATAACAAAACGAAAGAGATTTTGAGCCGAGAAATTTTCATTTAAAAATGCGCGGAATTTGCATTATAAATCGATAAAAATTCAAAGAATTTTCTCGTGAATTTTTTCTTTCTTGAATTTTCTTCTGAATTTGTTTAAACAATTAAAAATATCAATCGACTTCATTATTGGCAATATAACCAGGATTATTCCCCATAATTGAATATTTCGCTTTTATTCCCTGTTCAGGATAAAAATTGCAACAGGATAATCTCCCCTGGGGCGCTGTATAAATTAAGAGTCGGTTACGCTGGGATTTATAACACCCCTTTAATCCGTGAATTGTAGCGCAATATTTCATGCAGTTGCACACAGTAAAATCTCATAAAAAGCGGGAATAACGGATGTATGAGGTGGAACCCCCGATAACTTGTTGATTTTTACAACGTAGATCCAATAGGAGATATCATGAACCTGTATTTGTTTATTTTTTGTGGGAAATTGCCATTGATCATCGCCCGTCGGCCGGGATATTACATGTGTAAACAGTGCAGAGGCAGATACGAACGAGAATAATTGCAAGGATTTATATTTTCACATTATTGTTCACTGGAAATTTATCTCGGTAACACGTGGATTCAGGGGAAAATCGCAGACGAAATTATTGGTACACCAGAAAACTGCAAATAAAAAACTTCTTTTGTCAAGAGATTTATCAAGATGTCAAAAAATCGTTCTTTTTTACGTTTGTTTTTGTTTTTGCATTTCAAGTGCATGCATCTCGGAAACCGTTGTATATAGGAGAAAATGTCATAGAACCTTTTTTGTAGACCATAAAATTTCCAACAAAACATATTCTATAACATTTTTCTCTAATTCCCATCATTATCGAGATAATCCCGAATTTTTAAAAACCCGAAAAAATCGGAGCTGAAAAGTTTCTGAGTTGAGTTCATCGGGGACTCCCCTCTCCTGTCCATTCCCCAGGCCCGTCCCTGCGCATTCGTACTGCGCAGAGGGGCTATGAAAGCTATCCCCCCAACTCAAACGATGGAATAGAAATCACGAAATAAACGGAACCCGAGGAAAAGTAATTGTTCAAAAATATCTGTAGATCATGATTGATCGCGCCATGAGCCTTCCCCGGCCCCTTCCTACCGTCGAGACAAAGAGTATTGTATCCACAGTGATTAACACCGGTGCCTGCCACCAGCAGACGCTCAAAAATTCGCAGGTCAGCACTACGTCTGAGACAATTCAGTAGCGAAGTGGTAAAACGTTTTAAGTCGACTCATCTCCCAGTTGAGTTTTTGAGGAATATTTCCGAATCTAAGCGAGATAGCGAAATTTTTCTAATTACATGTATTGTAGCTCTTAATCGGCGCTACAAAAAAGATTCAGAAAACATTTCGCTATCTCCCTTAGATTCCGAGATATCCATTGAAAACTGGTCAATAGTCAAAACTGACTTGTACCGTTTTACCACTTTGCTACTGAATTAAAGCACCATCTGCGCCCACCCCGAGAGATCTCTCCCGAATTCCAGTGTCTCCATTCTTGTTTCAATCGTAAACAAAGGGGAGGTAAAGTTTTCAGCATTACCACGATTGCTGGAGACCCAATTGTTATGCGGACCGGGGTAAATTTGCTGTCTGCGGCTAACAGCACCCCACTTAACTGATTAATGCTCCTGTTAACTATTAACGATTAATACTCATAGCTGGGGTAGCAACCAATGCTATAATGTGTCGCATTGCATCGCGCGAAGGTAACACGAATTTCCAATCAACTTTGAGTGCACGGGGATAATGTTATTCTGTTCATAAATCGGTGATTTCAATATTCATACGCCCGATTTATGGCTTCACTTCCACGAAATTCCCATTTTTCGATGGGAAGCGACAGGAAATTAATTGAGATATTTCATTCTGCTTTGATTAAAAAATTCTGTACTCGTTGTTTATTCACTTTTAAAGCGAGAAATTTTAGGGGAAATTCTCGGGTTCTTTAAATGGAAAAATTTTCATTTTAAAATGTTTTATTACTACCGAATTAATTCAGCGGTCATCATAAAAATATTGAATTGAACACAATTAATCCTGTTTTTTTAATGTTGTCACCTTCAATTTGCGGATCGATTCCAAATAAAATGGCAATGCTGATTGGAAAATGATGATTTCCTGGGGTGAGGCAACAGGTGGTCTTCGAATTCATTACGCATTTGCATTTATCCAGAACAATGCACGTGGCAAAAACGTATAGTGCCCTAATGAGAGCGTGGAGCATTGAAGAAATTGGCGGTAGGATAGAATATTTGGGGGAATGGTCGCAGGGAATTCAATGGAGCTGATGAGAAATTGAAATTTAGATGTGTCGTCCTAATCTGCATCAGCAAATTTACTAGGAGAACTCAGGGTCTTGAAAAGACATGCATTTGCCCTTTGGATTGATGAAGATGATATATTTCGTCGCACGTGTAAAAGAATTCCACAGGAAATTCTTTACGAATTGAATTTATAAAAAGCTTGCGGGATTTGCCCGAGAAATTCTAATGCAAATGAAATGAAAAATAAAATGGAAATGCCAGAATTAATGAAAAATAAAAATTCAACTCTTTTTTGTAATGAATTTTCATTTGTTTTAATTAATTTTTCTAATTCATTACAAAAAAGAGTTGAATTTTTATTTCTTTTAATTAATTTTTTTATTTATTTCAATTCACTTTTTCTATTAAAATGCACGAAATAGTTAAAAGTTTTGAAATTTTCCACGAAAATAGAATAATAAGCTACGGAATTTTGAGGCGAATGCCCGGGGGTCGTTGCAAAACAATTATGAATAATATTTTTCACGACACAATATTTCTTATTCAGCAGTAAATAGTCGGTAATATAATGGAGCCAGAACACTGTCGGGATTATATTATGGAGTGTCCAACTCACAATAGCGACGACTTTATGATTCCGGGAAAGCAATATTCGAGGTAAACGAGTGGCCAAATGAATTTTGTAACCCCTGATGGTTTATACGGGGGTCAATCGATGAGAAGTATGAAAGGTGGAGGAGGACAATGGGGGCCGAGGGACTGGGGATTAAAATTGTTTCAGCCGCATGTAACCCAGAAAATTTGAGACGGGTCTGGATTTTACAGCGCGAGAAATAAAAATTCTGGAAATACTTCAAACACGAGAAAAATTTAATTAAACTTTTACTTTAGATTTATTCCCCTATGAAAATTAATAATTATTTTCTCCAACGTTTCAGATGAAAATTCGATGTCTTTGTAATGACGAAATAATTATTGAAATTTATTCTGTCATCGAACTAAAAAAAAAATTTTATATCGGAAAAATCAACATTCTCAATTTAAAATTAATGTAACGTTAAAAAATTCCCCTCTAATTGTAGCCGAGATAATTGGATTCTTGGAATATCCCTGTGCAGAACTATTCCAACAAAACTTTTCATATTGCAAGTAGCTATCCGCCGCGGGCTGTCTCAATACTCCCTTCCCCGATCGACGCATGCAAAATCCTTCTTTTTTGTAATTCCTCTCATTACATGAGCAGAATCTCCGAAGTTATGGGGATTCGCCCAGTGGGAGGGGAAACATACTCGGAATTTTGATTTGTACTTTTTAAAATACTCGACGACGGATATTTCAACTCCACTGACAATTTCATCGGGAAGTTTCTAAATTTCTTGGGAATGCAAATGTCGGAAGTTTCTGCCATCTCATGAACTTCATTTGATGTGAATACAAACTGCGTTTATTTAGTGTTGGTAAATTTTTTAGTTTTTCAATTCTGTCTTGTTTAATGAGAAATTTAATGGCTTTTAATCATGAAGGAATTCAAATTGAAAATTATCCCATTCATTTATAATGAATTTATTTGATGTGAATGAAGACTTCTCTTTTAATTTAGTGTTAATAAATTTTTTACTTTCTCAATTTCATGTCTTGTAAAATAAGAAATTTAATATTTTTTAATTATGAATAAATACAATTAAAAATTGTATTCTCCATTATATACAATTATTCCAATGAATATGAGAATAAAAAATTGTTTTCGTTTATCTACATCAAATAAAAATGAAAATTATCCAGTCATTTCCTCTGAATTCATTTAACATGAATGATATCACGAATTAATAAAAACGAAAAAAAAAGTATTAAAAAATTTCAAAAATTTCCACCGCTAGTCTCAAATTCATTCCCCCGCACCTCACAAACCCGACGCCCAATTATTCCACCTAAAATCCTCCGGCATCCTGACACGAACATTTCTCAATTGCCACTTGTCCCAGGTGTAACGTCCGTCGCCACACACCTCAACCTATCAATTCCCCGAAAGACTGACAGCCCCCTCCGCCCCTCCTGCCACCCCC